TAAGCTGTATTACCTGACTACCTGTATAGCACAACACTTCAATTCAAATATTCATTGATATCTACCTAATCAACAAATCCTAAAAACAGAGAAAAAAATCACCTCCTTAATTAGTCGATGCCTGTCTCAGCACTCCCCTGCAGCCTGCGTTTTTTCTCGCCAATCTCCGGTCCGGTTAGTGTGGACCCGGTTCGGGCCGCCGGCCCGGGACAGGCCCGGCCCGTTACTGTGCGGGCCCGGAACCGGCCCGGTTCTCGGGTCCGGGTCCGGTTCGGGCACCGAACCGGTGGGGGTGGCGGGTCCGGGCTCGGGTGTTGTTTTTGGCGGCCCGGTGATGTGTGTTTTCTCCTCAAGAATTAATTAAATTCAGCGATTAAAAGAAATAAATAAAATAAATGCGTAGTGCGAGATATGATTGGTATAAAAAATTAAAATGCAACTAAACGATTAAAATAAATGAGTTTTCTCTAATTAATGACGAAGGGAACAGGGATCGATTCCGAGGTAATCAGATTTCTGGCAGATCAGGCCTAATTACATGAAATTAATTCAATTGAGCCTAGCTAATCATTACTAATTTCTTACCGCTCTCGCGGCGTAGAGTACAATAATTTAGGGGACCAGGCTGATATCTCATAAGACACGATCCTAAATTATTGTCAAGGCGAGCGAGCTTACGGCCCCTTAATCGCTACTAATCTCTTAGCGAACGATTAAGTGTGTGTGAAGGTGTCCTACAATAAACTAGACCTCTCTTAATTTATTCTACAAACAATTGTAATTCTAGCGCGCGTTCTAGGTTACAAAAGATATCAGTCAAATTATTCAAACACAAATTAAACAGTATTCATGCAATTAACCCATCAAGAAACTAGCCATACATCATGATCAACCCCTTCATCAATCTCAATCCCTAATTAAACTACTCACAATTCATAATTGAAGAATCAATAGAATTGGGAAGAATAGAAGTAATTGTCATTAATTAAAAAGATGTAACTTACAAAGAATACCAATGAACAAGGATGAAAACCCCTCTAAATTTCGTGCTAGGCACTCTCTCTAAGCTCCCCTCTTGAAAACAGGGTTTACAGGCTGTTTAAATAGAAAAATCGGGTGAAATTTGAGCTGAATTAGGATTTTCGGAGCCAGACACGATGCCAGGCACGATTATGCCTTCGATCGTGCCTCCGGAGCAAAAACGCGCATTTTGGGCAGGCACGATCGTGCCTGGCTGGCAGTAACTCCGCGGTGCTTTTCTCTTCATGCACGATCGTGCCTAACTTTGAGGACACGATCGTGCCTACTTAACTTCCGAACTTTACAAAACTTCCTTCATGAAAGTTGTAGATAATGAAGTCATCTATCCACCCCAATTTGCCGGATGTGATTTGAATCATCCAATCAAGAGATATGATCAAAATGGTGGGAGGTGTCATTCTGAAATCGCAGCAGAGATCATCTGACTTCATCATCTGTTTTAACCTTCTTACTTTCCGATGCTCGCAAAGGTGTCTTCATATGATTTGTAGCCCTTGAAGTTAGATTTCATATGGAACTTGAATCGTGTACATTGGATATTTCTACAAAGAGATATGCTTGAACGATTGACAGAAGGTCATCTTGATCGTCGTTTTCAAGCTTCATTCATCTTCTTTTGATCCCATAGTCAATCCTAGAGCTCTTTTGACATCAAATCTTCATCGTGAACCTCCTAGTGACCTCCAAATCTCTCAAATCACTCTCGAATGCTTCTCAACTCATCCCGATTTCTTCTCAAGCGCCGGTGCCGAACTCTAAAATCCCGATTTTGACTCCAAATGACACAAAACTCGAACCAACGCCCGGTAAACATAACTTGAGCTAAAATTCAGACTTGCAATACCTTAAAGCTAGGAAAACCATCAAAATCCAATCCCAACACACATCAAATGCGTTTCTAAATACGGACTTATCACCCGGCCCGGCCGGGTCGGGCCCGGGCCTAACGGTCCAATTTTTTTAATTTTTTTTCCTTTTAATTTAAAAAACCCTTTTGGGCTCTTGACCCACTTCCCAAACGGCTATATAGCCGTTGGGTGGGTACCAGGGGGGTCCGGGGCCTTTGGGGGGTGGGGGTTAAAAAAAACCTATAAATATTCATAATTTTAAACATTTTTTGACACCTCTTCACCAACTCTCCCTAAATCCTACTCTCTACTCATCTCCATATTCATCTTCTCAAATTCTCTTATTCTCCATTATATTTTATTTTACTATTTAATACTTATACAATTATTATATCTACTTATATATTAATTATCTACTTATAAATACATATACTATATTACTTATATTTCTTATCTACATAATCTCTACTTATATCTCTTAATACATACATACTACATCTACTTAATATATACTTTATATATTAAAGTATTAAATATACTTTATAAACTATTACTATATACTTAATACATAATAATATCTACTTCTCTACTTATATTTCATATATACTTATTTTCTTATTCTCCAATCCCCAATTCTCCATTATACTCTAATATTTAATTCTTATACAATTATTATATCCGCTTAATACATATATTCTACATCTACTTAATATATAGTTTATATATTAAAGTATAAAATATAAGTGTATTATATACTATAAACATTATATTATATATTAGTTACTATAACTAGTATTATACTAGTTAATTAGTTCATTAGCATTCTTGTTACATTTTTCATTGTACTAGTTAATTTGTTCATTAGCATTCTTGTTACATTTTTCATTATACTAGTTAATTAGTTAATTAGTATTCTTATTACATTTTTCATTATACTAGTTAATTAGTTCATTAGCATTCTTGTTACATTTTTCATTATACTAGTTAATTAGTATTCTTGTTACATTTTTCATTATACTAGTTAATTACTTCATTAGCATTCTTGTTACATTTTTCATTATATTAGTTAGTTAGTTAATTAGTATTCTTGTTACATTTTTCATTATACTAGTTAATTACTTCATTAGTATTCCCACTAATTGTTAAAACAACTCAACTTCAAAAAACTAGTTAATTGTCATTATAGTTAAAGTCACATTTTCTTATTTTCAATTTATATATATTTGAACGAAAAAATAGTAGTTCAATCATTTAATTAAAGTACTTAACATTTTATTTAAGTAGTTTTTACTAAATTAAAGTACTTGAAAAGTTGCTATAATTTTAATTTTAGAGTCACACATTAATTCTACTTTGCACTAAATTAGTTTGAAGTATTAATTAAAATAGTTTTAATTAGTTGCATTAGTTTTATATTCATTATTATATTTGTTGCCAATTAATATTTGTTACATTTTTAAGATGGAAGGTGGTAGATATTCGGTTGATTTGGGTAACCTCCAACACGATCGAAGGAACGAGATTGAGAGGAAGAAATCCCGCAAAGTTTTCAAAATTGTAAACTTGTACTTCATATTTCAAAATTGTAAATTTGTAGTTGTACTTCAAATTAATTTGTAAACTTGTACTTCATATTTCAAATAAATATGCGTTCATTTTTTCATATGTAGCACTTCTTAAATTAATTAATCGGTTACAAACTTACGACTTAAAATTATTTTTCTAAAATCTAAAGGCGATTTTTAAATTAAAAATACATTTACAATATGTAATTTGTTTAAATACTTATACACCTATTTTGTAACATTTGTAAATTATAAATCAAACCACTTTTCTAAGTACAAATAGCTTTACTTAATTCATTAAATTAATTAACTTATTTTACAATGTGTATAACTTAAAAAAAAAAAGATTTAATTTTTTTTTAAAACAAACCTCCCAAACGGCTATATAGCCGTTGGGGCTTTGGGTGGGGGGCAGGGGGGTCCCGGGGGTGGTGGTGTGGGGAGTGGGGTTCAAAAACATCTATAAATACATCTATTTTCTAACATTTTTTTACACCTCTTCTCCAACTCTTCTCCATCTTCATTTTCTTTTATTATCCTACATTCCTACTTATACATATACCATTTTAAAGATGGAAAGTACATCTTCCCTTATGCAAAACAATTTTGATAAGTGGAAGGACCCAAAGACCGAACTGTGGTGGACAACTTGCAAGTGGTGCAAGAAAGAGTGTAGCTTGGGGCGTTCACACGGATACGGGATGCCAATAAAACATATGAAGTCCTGTGACAAAGGCAAAACAACAACCAACGGTGGCGGAAATCTCAATTGATATTTATTAGAAAATGGATTTCGTATTGTTATTTTTTTGGGTTTTTTACAAGAATATTACTAAAATAAAACTTATTTATATAAATATGACTATTCATTACTACAACGTAGTGCTGTGGTAACTTAAGTTCAAAACTTGAACATGAATTGCTATAATTTCATTACTACTCTAGTAACTAGTCATATTTTTGTAAACCATCTTTATTTTGATTATATCTATGTAATTATTTCTATTTTTTTCTCAATTCTCAAATGTAGTTCCTATTTCAAATATATGCACTTGAACTTTGTTTTTAATAGGACTTTGTATAATATATAATTATTAATATATATATATATATTTTTTGAACCGGCCCGGCGGGTGGCCCGAACCGTGAACCGCCCGGGTGGCCCGGCCCGGCCCGAACCGGAACCGGCCATAGCCCGGGCCGGTCCCGGGCCAACCTATACCAGACCCGAGGCCCGACCGGGCCTTAGCCCGGCCCGGGTCCATCACTAGGTCCGGCAGCCTTCTCCACTTCTGGTTGGATGACTTCAATCCATTGCCCGCTCGTTGGACACTTGGACGTCCAAGCACTCCCCAAGTAGGCTAATTTCAGGTTTTCCCTCTTCAATTAATTTTCTGAAATTTCAATCTTAATCACAGCCCGTTTACACTCTTAGGTTTGACTGTTGTGCGACGTCGTTTTTTACTTTCGTATCATTTAACCAAACGACGTTGTTTGGCCGTTAATTAATTAATTTTTTAAAAAACAACAGCTGGAACTCTGGAAGTCGAAAGAAACAAACGCCATTGATACGCAGAGCTTGGTGCAGAACGGGAAAGGCAGAAGAAGACCCTGGGCGGCTCAGAACTTATACCTATTATATACATAATTATTTCCGGCGAAGGGGACGCGCCAGCACCGGCTCGCTCCCCTGGTTCCGCCCCTGAGCGTGACTATCAATTACAATATTCTTCAGAAACAAACTATCTAGCACAAACATTGTAATTCAAAGTGTCAAGGTTTAATACGATGCAAGTGTACAAAATGTTTCCAGTTATGTAATCTGGAATGCTAGTCCGTGATGATATTCAGGTAAAGTCTGAATCTTTGCAACGCATCAAATATTCAAATATGAGAGCGTTCAATTTTTCTTCAGAGAGATTTGTTTTAAGCCAATCTAAGCTCTTTACACAATCCAAATCCACAAATTCTCAGTCCCATTCACTCTAATGACTTGGCTTCAATTAGCTTTTTCTTCACAGGTGGTTGTGATTCTGCAACAGAGAAGTAAATAAAAGAATCAATAATAAAAAATAGGTTCAATTGAAACACAGTTAATAAATTGTTTTGGCTACTTGTAAGAAGCAAAACAATAACCAAAAACTGTCAATAATTGTTTGGATATTGTCTATAAGGGATACAGACACTTGAAATTCTCAAGAAGAAGTGGAAGATATATCTATATGATCATTTTGCCTTGCAAAACAAGACAATCATTAACAATCATGTAAACAGAACCGAAACTAGCCCCCCACCCAAATGCATTGTTCATTGAAAAGTCGGAGGTCATATTTTGGTCATTCATTTTATCAAGAAACATAAAGTCTATAATATTATACGAGAAGATGTTAAGTTCAATCTTCAAAAAAGTAATTCGATCCTTATAAACTCAATTGTCCTAAAGCACAACTCCAATCAATTCAAGCCTAAGCTTTGCCTAGTCTCGCTCTTGCTTAGGCTTCAGAGGCTTAGGTCTTGGCTTGCACGTCTGGTTAGGCTTCACGCCTTTTAGAACACCGTGTAAGACACCCCAAGCCTTAATCTAGACTACAGTTGAGGATTGTGGAAGGTGGCACACGGCCTAAAAATTTATACTAAATCCTTCCCACTAAACAATTTCATCCTTTTTAATTCACTTACAAGTTAGGTTTGGTCAAGTTTCATAGGACGGAGGAGTATTTATTGATATGTTCATTGTTACATTTGCCGATCCCAAAATCTTTTAGGATTAAGCCTTAGATGTTGTTGTTCGTTGTTGGATTTATGTATCATGCATTGTTTGAGTGAGACTGTAAGAGAATGAAATTAACCCTAATTATAATGCCTACTTAGGAGGACAACGAAGAAGACGGTAAGCATTTTCAGTTTTAAACTCAACTACTACCAGTCTACCTACAGCAGAACTTTTTCCTTGAAGAAAATGAATTAAATGTTACAACTACTAAGCAAAATCTTACTGGATATAAGAGCCCTTGGTCTGGTTTTGAAGAGAATTTTCTGTCGAATAATCCCGATTACATCCAATTCCACATTAGCCGAGTTGCTCTCACTATTTTCCTCCTTCAAAAGCTTGTTTTTCTTCAGTACTAGCATAGGTTTCTTCAAGGTTATTCTATTCCCTGTTAGCTCATGGTACCCAACAGTAAATGTATAAATCTCCTGAAAATAAAAAAAATCAGGGGGTGAGGGGAGTCCCGTGTGCTTTTCAGCAATCTCGAGTACTTTACAACTGTAAATTGAGAATTAGGGAAATGGGGAAGTGTTTATGGGAGAGAAGAATTGAATCCGACCTGAGAAGACGGCCGGCAGAGGACGCCGATTTGGAGGTTCTGAAGGCGATCTGCAAAAGCGGGTTGGGCTTCAATAACACCTTGAAGCTCCACAATCGCCCATTCTGGGCAGTTTTCACCGCAACTGCATTTGACCCGAATCTGCATTTCTACGGCTGTTCTTCCGAACTTCTACACTACTTGGAAGGGATTTCCCCGTGCAGAGTACTAGCGCGTGAGGAAATATGGGGAAGGGGTCTCGACAAATTGAATTGCCGGCGAAACTCAATATAGTGCCGCACCCTTATACCGTTCTCGTCTCGTCTTGGCCTTTTGCCTTTTTTCTAACGGAGTTGATTACATGCTGTTTGATCTGCCATTTTCGCTAAGGGGGGTGTATTGTATTAGGATTTAGTGGCAAAATTTTAAAAGTCCATGGATTTTAAAAGTTTAGGTGTATTCAATGTGGACTTTTAAAAGTCCACAAAAGTCTAGGTGTATTCAATTCGGACTTTTAAAAGTCTATAAAAGTCTAGGCGTATTCAAATTTCCGTTCATTCTTATTGACTTCTAAAATCATGGATTCTCGTGGACTTTTAACTCATTTTTAGTGCAAAAATTCTCTACAATTGTCTCTTCTCCTCACCAAAGATTTCCGTGGACTTTTCTTATATCGGTTCTTCATCCCGTCCCACCCCATTCCTCCCCTCCCTCCTAGGGATGGACCGGGCCAGACCCGGTTTCTGTTCCAAGTCGGGCCCGGCCGGGCTTGGAATTTTTTGGGTAAGGCCCGGGATCAGCCCGGGAGTCTACCGGTATCGGGCCGGGCCAATTCCGGGTTGGGCTGGGCTGGTTCATTTTTTTCGGTTTTCTTATATATTCCAACCCTCACCCCCAAACCCCTCCAAAACACCCAGCCTACCTACCATAGGCCCAACACCCCCCCCAAAAAAAAAAAAAAAAACCAAATAAGGCCCGGACCGGGCCCAAACCGGCTGGGCTGGTCCTCAAATATGCAATTCCGGAACCGCCCCATATAATCCCCCCGGGTCGGGCCTAGGCCTGGTACCGGTACCGATCCAACGGGCCGGGTCGAACCCGCACAGTGGCGGGCCGGGCCGGGTCGAACCCGCACAGTGGCGGGCCGGGCCGGGTCCCGGGCCAGTCAGACCAGCCTCGGGCCAAGCCTACTCCCCCCCTCCCCCAACTCTACTCTTCTTTAGCCAAGCCACACCTTCCTCTTCAATCTTTCTTCTTTTTCTTCTTCAACCCAGCTCGCCCACCCCTCTCCTTCCTTTCTTCTTCTTCTTTAGCTTGCCGTCCCCAGTCCACCCCCCTCAATTCAGTAATCCTATATTGATTCGATTCTAGAAATTTATAGAAGAACCGATATAAGAATCGATAGTATTACATCAATGCAATTCTGATAAGTCATCAGTTAACCATTAAGAAAATAAATATTTTAACTATCACTTTCTTTCATCGTTAAATCGCTTAACACATAAAAATATAATTTCAAATTAATAAATATATAACCATAAATACATATACAAGTTTTTACAAGATAGAAGTTAAAAGAAAACAATCACTAAGTAGAAAAGCTCGATTGCATTTATGCTTGTACCACATGTAGCAATGAGTATAACGCTTGTGTCACGATTAATGTTCTTAATCATTAATAAAATGGCCAAAATTCTCGAGCATTTTTGAAACTTTGAGTTTTTTTTTAATAAAAATAAATTTGAATTCTTATGCTTCATTTATTTTTGTAGAACTTTGTCTTGCTATTTGAATTACATTTTTTCATTTATTTATTTATTTATTTATTTATTTATTAATTTATTTATTTATTTATTTATTTATTTATTTATTTATTTATTTATTTATTTATTTATTTATTTATTTATTTATTTATTTATTTATTTATTTATTTATTTATTTATTTATTTATTTATTTATTTATTTATTTATTTATTTATTTATTTATTTATTTATTTATTTATTTATTTATTTATTTATTTATTTATTTATTTATTTATTTATTTATTTATTTATTTATTTATTTATTTACTTATTTATTTCTTATCGTACTCCGTATTATATAGAGGAAATCACTCACGGTAGGACTAAAACATAGCATTATTCTTAAAGTATGATTAAATGTTTGGTTTTTCTTAAATGGGAATAAATATTACATATTCACCCATAATTTAATTAATTAATTAATATAATTAATTGTCCCTAGTTCCCTTTCAGAACCAAAGCCATTTTGTTGGTGACGCGTCAGTCCGATGACGACGGCGGGGAACTCCGGTGATGGATGCGGACAGGTCACAGGCATATCGGTAGCGACAATCTAGGTGAAATTTTTGACGACCAGCAGTGGCGGTCCGTATTTAAAAGTCTATGGACTTTTTGAAAGTCAATAAACTTATCCATGGATTTAAAAGTCCATAGAATTCATTCATAAAAAAGTCTATGGATTTAAAAGTCCATTGACTTTTTTAAAAGTCCATGGATTAAAAAAAGTCCACAACAATCCAAATTGAATACACCCCCCTAAATGAAGAGGTTTTTGTCATGGAAGTCAATTTCAATGACTACTAACGTAGGGTTTACAATTGCTTCAACTTTAAAAAATTTTGGGAAAAGTGATTAATACTCCGTAGTAAAAGTTGGTACTGTTTGAGAAAAAAAGTGATTCTGAAAAAGTAAAAGTTGGTAATGTTTGATAAAATAAGTACTTTTTGTGTAATAGAAAAAGTGAAAAGCAGTTTAAAGCACTCTTCCACCTGCTTCCAGCTTTTAGCTTTTAAGTGATTAATTTAAGCAGAAGCTGTCATTTGAAAACGCTTTTTTTTAGCTTTTTTAAGCCAAAAGCTGAAAAGCGCTTTTTTAAGCAACCACAAACACTGCTTAAATATTAACAAAAATATGAGTAGGATTGTAGGATTAATTAAAATGAATTTGTTTGAAGCAGAATTTTGGGTGCAAGTGCACAATGTTCCGTATAAATTTATGAATGTAGGCACTACTAGAAGAGTGGGTAATTATATTGGGGAATTTATTTGTTTTGATGAGAGCCATTTTAAGAAAAAATGGAATTCATACTTGAGATTTAGGGTGGAGATGGATGTGAGAAGATCCCTGAAAAAGGGATATATATATTGACAAAGGGGGGTGAAAGACAATGTGTAGATTTCAAGTATGAGAAAATGAGAAATTACCGAAATTTTGCTTCATCTGTGGAATAATGGGACACTCTGAAAAATTTTGCCCATTGAAATATATGGAAGATATTGATCTGGAAAAAACTTTTAGTGTTGAACTTAGAGCAAGTGGAGGGGGAAAGACTAGCCCCACAAGAGGTAGTAGGTGGTTGGTGAATAAACAGGGGGTCCGAGTCAACAGAGGAGGGTTTATCAAGAAGATGAAGGCATTATGAGGCAGGGGCGCATGGGGAGTACAGATGAGACAGAGAATAGCAGCACAAAGGAAAAGAATAGAAGCAGTGCAGGGGAGGTCTCGGTTGACCAGAAGCGTAGGAGAGTCTTGAAGAATCTGGCACAGGAGGACAATTCAGGAGAGAATATGGCACTGGACAAAGCAAAAAACGTGGAGGAGGCGGGTCTGAGCTCCTAGACCCACCGGTCGTGTGCGTGAGGATGTGGTTGAAGAATTTCCACTTTGGTGTTTATTTTCTTGTTTTTTTTTCATGTTCCGTTCCACGTTAAGACTGTTGTTTTTGGTGTTTGTTTTATTTGGTTTTGTAAGACTCTTGCATTAGGTTTGTGTGATAGAGTTCTGCAGTAACCATTGTTGGCTCAATTTTGCCCAGTTTAGGATCAGCGAGGTATATTGTTTTCTTAAAGGTGGTTAACTCAGAGTCTGGCCCAAGGGCGGATGGTTATCCGTGGTACTCTTGTTATTTTAGACCTTTGCTGAATGCTTTAATTCTAATATAAGCCCCCTTCGTCCAAAAAAATATATAAAAATTAAAATATATGAATTTGGATGTGTGAGCTTGCGTTAATGTACATATGTTAAAAATAATGGTATTAGTAGTTATTTAAAATAAACGTAAATAAAAATGTAAAAACTTTTTCCAAGACTTATTAAAAATAAAATATACGAAGTATAAAATTAAGTTAAATATATACTACGTATAAAATTAATGGTCATTTTACGTCTTAAAAACTAATTACAAACAACTAATTACTAACAAATTATTTCAACCACTGATGAAAACGATTAGTTAAGAAAAGCTAATAGAATCCGCTAGTACAATCCCCTGATTGAACTGGCTATTAACTAGCCGACAACTGCTATTATCAAACATGTCATTAAGCATTTTTAGTCCTTCATTTTTTTTTATGAAATCAATGTAAAAAAATCGAAAATGTCAATTTCACAATACTTAGGATATGAAATGTCAGGAATTCTAAAGTCGAGGACCAAGAATATCTCACTCACAAAAAAATTGACCAATCTGTCACTAGCTAGAGCCTCTTTTTGTTTACCAATACGTCTCAAGTGATTTTTTTACCAATCCAATAAACCACCCTTTTTTTACCAATCTGGTAATTTCAATGATCTCATTGATCCAGGTTGGTGGGTATAATCGGTTTTTTTAAAGGAAAACGACTATATTGATATCATTAGAATCAGGATCGTTACATCAATCTCAAAGTGACCAGAACTCACAACACACTTCGCCTTCCAACTACTACTATTAGCCCTACGATTAGACACAAAGACAACTACCCCTAAAAGTGCAATATGAATCGCTAACCACCAGACGGGCTTAATACAGCTACTGTTGAAAAAATATATCCATCCCCCACTAACAATATCAAATCTAGCTGAACCCTCGATCAACGTAAAAGACCTACAACCATAAGCAAAAACAAAAAACAAACCGACAGCAACAAATTTCATAGCAAGAAGTCTAAAAATGGAGGAAATGAAACTTAGCACGATGAACTTATTGAGCGGCTGAATCCATTCTTCCAGCGCGGTGTTCCGATCCCTAGTCACCCCTTTCCGACATAGCGGCGGTTCAGGAGGGGGACAGATCTTCATCACTTCGTCTTCTTCCTTCAACACCTTGATCTGCCCATGATTTGCCTCCTCTTGACAAAGACACCGCACAAGCACCGCCAGTCCAAACGCGAACAATCTTCAGATCCCTATCATCTCCCCTGTGCTGCAATTGAGATTCGCCAATATTCTCTGAGCCCGAATGCACATGCGTTCCACCGGCCCCGGCCCCTTCCTCCAGATGAGGAATAAAACTAGCAAAATCCGGGACACTGAAGCGCCAAGAAAGGTATAGCGCCGCCCGCCGATAGAC